CTGCGCTCTGGGTCTGTTCAGGATCCCGCGGCCTGGGTCGTCTCACTCACTCACCGGGCCTGCGCTCTGGGTCTGTTGGAAGTTTCTTGATTTGGCACAGAGTGAACTTTTATATGACTGATATGTAAACTCTTCTTCATGTTTATTTTAGACAATTTTTATTGTTATATTCATTTGTTTGTAAATAATTTTATACAATATGCAATCTATTATGCATGTATTATATATGTATGTATCCTGTTATGTATTCATTTCAGAAATATTTCTCTAATTCACTCTGTCTAAAAAAATGCTTTTGTAACCTAAACCAAATACATATTTCAAATCAGTGTGGTAAAGAAAAGCAAAATTGTGTGTATCAAGAGACATAAAACAAAGGAAAATATAAACATAGACACTATAAGATAATAGATAAAAAGGCATGTGAATTGTGATGATGAATGTAAAATTATTGACAATCCATGCAGTTGTGAGCTATTTGGTTGCAAGTGACAGAATCCTAACCTAAATTATTTTTGGAGCAAGATATTTAGGAAATAATGTAAAATGCTACAATAATATATACTTTTACACAATAATGTATATATTCTTCCTTTTAGTGCTGCAATAGTATATTCCACACTTAAACTTCTCCAAGATTCAAAACTTTTTAAAAAGAAGGTAGCACATGAGGAGGTCGAGAATCCCATCTCTTCAGGAACTTCTGTACGTATGAACATAACTCATGTATACTGAAGGCTGAAATTTTGGGATGAAGTTCATTATCTTCAAATTTTTAGATAAAGTTATCTAGAACAATTCAAGGAACAAAAATAAGAAGAGAAAACATTTTATTATCTTTCATTGTTATGAGTATTCCAAAACTAGATCACCATGGCAGGCCGGCCAAATAGCTCAGTGGATTAAAGCACCTGCAAGCAGGTACAGGGGCTGGGGGTTCAGTCCCCGGGCCTGCCATGCCAGCCCCAACTCCAGGGTGTGCTGAGATGGCAATTGAGACTGGATGTGGTGGTACGCACCTATAATCCCAGCTCTTGGGAGACTGTAAACAGGCGATTCACTATGAGTCAGATCTAGTAGTGAGACCCTGAACACCCTGTAGACCCTTCTCTAAAATACAAAAAAAAAAAAGATCCCCAGACATTGACAGATTAATGTTTATCCTTACGGATTATATATTATGATACATTATACATAATAGCTGTTGGCATCCTATGAAATTGTTTATTTGGGTGAGCAAAGAGGGTAAAGTAGGAAAAACATTGAATTTAGAGAAAAAAATCTGTACTTACATTTAATTTATGCTACTTATTAACTGGAATGCCTTAACAAAAATCTCTTGATTTTTTATAACATTTTTTAAAAACATATTTAGTACAGGGTCTACAGGGTCTCACTACACAGATCAGACTCATAGTGATCCTCCTGTTTTCAACCTCCCAAGTGCTGGGATACAGGTGTGCACCACCACGCTCAGTCTCAGTCACCCTCTCAGCACGCCCCGGGGGCAGGGCCGACACAGCATGCCTGGGATTGAACCCCAGTCCCCGTGTGCTGCCTAAGCAGGTGCTTTAGTTGCTGAGCTATGTGCCCAGCCCTCCAAAAATCTCTTTAACTTTTTAAATAAAATAGTGACCTTATTTTTGAACTGATGGAATTAGATATGATAATCATTGAAATTCCCTCAAGATATATCATTGCGGTAAGCCTAAAATGATCATACTTGCAAAGAAGTTGTATCATGTTCTTCCTTTAGCTTTTGAGACTTTGACCTGGACATTAGCTGTAACTCGCCTGTGCGATTTACTTTGGATTCCTCATAGTTAGAGTCCTTTGCATTTAAGCCTCAAAGTGTATTTGATAATTGTTCACAAATCCTGTGATTGGGCTTTGATAAGACTGCATAATTTAATAATACAGGGTTGATTAGGATTAAAATATAAAGATTCATCACGTAGAATTCTTCCTCATTATTTCAAGCCTCGCTAATAAGAATTGTAATATCCAACAACATTACAAATTAACAAAACTAATTGTTCTAAATAGAGACTCATTTCTAACTATATTAAAACTAATAGCAATACTAAAAAACGATTAATTCTAAAAGCAGATTTAGGACATTAGTTATTGACCAGTAATGATTATGCTTCTTAGGGGACATTTGGAAATCCCAGAGATATTTGATAATTGCGAGTAGAGAAAGTGTTACAGGCATCTACCGGTTAAAGGTGAGAACTGCCAGGATGCACTGTACAGTGTTCTGCCCTGTAATGTACAGGACATTCTCCCCCATGCCATAGCAGTTGCTGTCTGGTTCAAATGCCAGTCAGTGTCTGAGGCTGAGAAATCCTGATTGGAAGTGGAAGATGCTTTCCGTGAGTAACAGGCGAAGCAGGCTTGAGAGGTTAAGTTTACCGGTGGTCACTTTCCTCCCATGATGGATGTAAACACTGAAGTCCAGGAGTGCTTGCTTCACCCCATCCTGCTTGTGGCCTCTGTCACCAGGGACAGCTTACCTTTGTCTTCTTGTACGTCCCTTCTGTGTCCACCTTCTGTCCCTGCTAAGTCCTAGTAGCTGCTCCTGGGTAGCAGGTGTTGCAGACTGGTTGGATGATGAGCTGCAATAGAGGCGTGGCAGGGAATTCTAGAAGAAATACTTTTTTTCCCCTAAAGTCTTTGAAGTTCCCCATGCCTATGCCTGACCTCAGCTCTAGGCTGAATTTTTCATCCATGCTCCCATTCTTTTTTTTTTTTTTTTTTTTTTTTGGTGGAACTGGGAATTGAACTCAGGCCCTTGTGTGTGCCAGACAAACACTTATTCTGCTGAGCTATCTCCCTGGCCCCAATGCTCCCGTTTTTGACCTACAAGAAAACCATTCAAACGTAGACATCATAACACACTGCACATGGGAAGGATACTTCCTTCACACTTATATTTAGGGGTGGATTTCAGCTACAATGAAAAGAGAGAATTTCAAATTAATTTAGATACTAAAAGGAAAATACCCAGTAGTTCCTTCCAGCAGATCCAAGGGACTGTGGATGATTGATTGATTGATTGATTGATTCTGTATATTTTATGGGACATGCAAGAATAATTCCTGAAGTTAAAAACTTACTACTGTGAAATAGTACTAGATGCATCTCTTGACTTACACTTAGCCTCAGATAAGAACTTTGACATTGCTAAATGGGAAAATGATCACCATTTTAATATTGTTTAGGTCACAGAAAACAAAGATGACAGTGTGTTTTTGGACCCCATTTCCTTGAATGCCCGAGAGTATTTCAACATCCACCTGTGGCTGCGGTGCCGCCTCGCACTTGTGACTGCGTTTGTCGCGCAGATTCGAGGCATTGGAATTGTGAAAGGTACAGACGTCTAGTTTTCTGAATCAGTTGTTTTCATAAAAGTGCATGCAGGTGAAGGGGTTTTGTTAGATCTATTGTATTACGATGTTCACATGTTCTGATTTTCTAGCTTGAGCTATTTGTAGAATTTAAAATCCAGGTGATTTAGTGAGCGCAGTCATTTCTGACAGTCCTTTGTATTGGTAAAAGTAGTTAGGGGACCATGGATATGTGGAAAACAGCCAGGAGACTTCAGAATCCCTGTATATCTGCAGCTTCTCTTGTCATTCCAGAAGGTGACAGTGTCAGGGTGAAGGGTGCAGATTGTGGAGCCACCGAACTTGGCTTCACATGCTGCTTCTGCCAGTTCCTTGCCACACCTTTCTTGGCTGAGTCTCTGCTCTCTTTTCTCCGTGTTCTACTTTGTAAGATATAGGTAATTTGACCTGTTTCCTAAATTATTGTCAGTATTATGTGAGTCAAATAATAAATCTATTATTATTAGCTAATAATGGCCTGGCATATATATTCTTACAGTAATGAGTAAGTATCTGTTTTTTTGCCCGTCTGTTCACCACTTTTCTATCCATCTTCTAAATCAAATTATTTCATGAGATAATATTGTTACTTTTGCAGCACTGGACTATTCTAAAGTATTCCCCTCAACTCACAACACATTTCTTTTCAATGTTTCATGGAGTGTGTATTTGTTTTCCAATCTGATATCCTCTCGTTCTTCAACCTTATTCAGTCTTCCTGTAATGAACATTGGGAGCATCATCCATTGGTGTATGTTGTTGTTTTCTCGATGCATTTTAAGTAATCACACTTGTTTATTTTAGAGAATGATATGACAGATTGTTTGAGCCTCATCAAGGAAGTGTGTGCGGAGGCGGCGGGCGCTTACGACACAGAGGTGCAGGCTGAATCTCTGATGCAGGCTGTAACGCTTGGCCTGCAGGAGAAGCATCTAAAGGCAGACATTGTAACAAACCTTCAGGTACAAAGCAAACCTTGCTCGCTTTACGTACGTTTAGGAAGGATGGCATTATGACAGATGGAGAAGTTTAACTTATTTTAGGCACTGAAGGTATGCCAAACAGCCAGCTCTTATTTCTAAGTATATTAGAAATGGTGCTATCAAATAAAATACTTTTGTTTTAATAGGATATAATACATTTGCTTGAAGGAAATGAATTTATTTCTCCCCGATCTTGGCTAACCCTGGCAAGAAGCCTCGTCCTATTAGATGACCTAACAAAAGCTGAAAAACTCAAGCAGCATCCTTCCTCTTCGAAAACAGAAATATTAAAATTTTTGACTCAGGCCCACAACATTCTTATTGAACAGGTGAGAATGACTTTGTGTCCAGAGAGCTTAGAAAACTGACTTTTCGCTCTCTTGTCTTATTCCAAGCCACAATAACTAAGTTTTTTATGACAATGTTTCTTTTATAGATGCTAACTTTTGGAGAAACAATTGAATTTCCTTTATTAAATACTGAATATGCAAATCCATTGCAGCCTTTGAAAAATGTCTGGCTTCCTCATGTCATGCTGTTGGCCAAAATAAAAATGAGAATTGGTAAGAATTTTGCAGCATGTCATATTGATACATAACTTTTTAAGTTATTTGCAGGCAGCCTATCATAGGACTGTATTTAAAAGGGGCAAGGTTTGTGAAAGTAGGCTCCATTTAGATTCTAGTCACTTGTCAGGTATCAGATTCCTGTGATGTATGGGTGGTCTTTATGTAGAAGTAACATATAGAATTAATTGTAGTAATTATAACAAACAAAGTACTTACTTTGGACTATTTGAATTTTATCCATTTAATCAATCATTTTATTTGAAATAATAAGCATATGGCCTACCTAAAATTTCTTATACATTTCAATAACTTTAATAGAAAAGTTCTGCAAAAACAAAGTACAACTGCATTTCTTACATAACATTTAAGAACATTTCTTGTCTACTAATCTATTTAAAAATCAAAAATTTTTACATTTCTAATAAATTGGCAAAGAAAGGTTTTGGAAAGAAACATGTACAAATGCTTTATACTTTGTAGTTATAATTGATGCTGTTAAGTATTTATATCTTTATAAACACTTAATGTCTAGGAAGAAAAAACCCAAGTTGTTTTGCATTTATCTAGGTAGTCTTCATTTTTCCAAGCTCTAATGACTTGTTTAGAAAGTTTTAAGACCTGAACTGTGTCCGACAGGTGTGGGACCTAGCCCGAGCTGGAGGCACAGCCTCCGCCCCCCAGTGCACAGTGGCTGGCACTGTTCATAGTTTTGCTGGTGATGGTATTTCACATGCAGGTGTGTGGTGCAGCCTGCGGACCGTTCGGGCCTTCCTGCTCTCTGCAGCTGAGCGCTTCAGGAGACCCCTCTGATCAGTCTGGGTTGTGGCCCAGCTTCCTTCTGCGCTTGTCCTTTGTCAGGGAGCAGCTTCCCTCTCCCGGAGCCTCTCGGCTCTTGGTTCCTGCCTCTTTCCCAGCGTTCCTGCCTCTTCCCAGCATTCCTGCCACAGTGCTTTGACCTTCTCTCCATTCTGTAGGCTGTTGAGTGAACATTTCTTTCGTGTTTCTCACTGTTGGGGCACCGAGCTGATATTTCAGACAGTTGTCCTCTGCACTCAGCAGGTGAGTGGTGCGCCATCTCAGCTCACTATCAGAACCCCGGGGTGTGGCCTTTCCCCTCAGGATTCAGTACATGCTGTTCTGCCATTTCTGTCTGGGCGGTGTACATGGGTGAACGTGAGGTCTGTAGGGCCACGCTGACCTTTCTCTTAGATGGTGAGAAATCTGTTATCATCCAGAGACCTTCCCTTCTCCCTTTGTAGTTTAGCACACTTGCTAGAATATCTCTGGCTGCGTGTCTTATCTTCCTATGTCTAGAACCCAGGGATCTCTTTCAAGCTGCAGGCAAACCTCTACTCCTGGGAAAATTCCTTCAGGCTAACTTGTTCTCTGGTCACTTTTTCTGTTCTTTCTTCTTCATCCACTCTACTGCAGCTGGAGTCAGCCTGCCTAAACGTGTGATTTACTTTGTATCTTAGTTTCCCCATCAAGAGTGGGGATATTTCAGTCTGTGTGAGCTGCTGTAACAAAATACCCTATCCAGTATTTTGTAAATAACAGAAATCCATTGCTAGCAGAAGTCCAAGATCAAGGTTTAGTACCTGTGAGGGCATTCTCTGCTTCATAGGTAGTACTTTCTCTATGTTCTGCATGATGGAAGGAACAAACATTCTCCCTTGAGCTTCTTACATCAGTCCCACTAAAGAGAGCACCTAATTCCCTATCAAAGTTCCCACCTCTTAATCCCATCATGATGGGCATTAGGTTTCAGCATATGAATTGGGAACTGGAAGGACACAGATTTTCAGACATAGTAGGGATAATAATGCCACTTAGCTACTGGAATTGTCAGGAAGATTAAATCAGTAAAAGGCCTAGATTAATGCCTGGACTACCATCACCATTATTAAGCACTGAGGAATATTTATATGTCAATCTACATCATCTTCCAAGTTTGCTATATTTTCTCTTAAATTTCCATTTATTTTTGCCATCAGCGATTAAAGCTACTTTTGTTTCTTCTTGATCTTTCTGGTGATAATTCTGATTTCAGCACTGACTAGAATCTTCTCAGTTGACTTTGTTTAGATGAGCTTTTAGGGAAGGCCATTGGGCCACAAGGGTGCAGTGGCAAAAGGTGATGCTAAGAGGTGAGCCTTGGTCACCAGAGGCGGGTCAGTGGACAGGACCGCAAGAGGCAGTCTCTTCCTTCCTAGCTCCTCGCTTCTCTCACTGCTCCCTGGCTGCCATGACCTGGGTGTCTTGCCTGTGCCGAGCTCTTCTGCTGTGCTGTTTCTTCTTTGGAGGTGGCCATCATGGGTGGCAGTGAGAGCGCAAACCTCTCTTCTTTACAGTTCGGGTCCTGGTATTGTGTTTCTGACAAGGAAAGCAACCAAGGTGTTCTCTAGAAGTACTTTCTCTTTTTGCTTTTCTTTTTACATCAACTTCACATTGAATCCTTCAGCTGCTTGTTCATTTTTTAAAAAAATAATTTTATTGAGAAACAAATAGTAATGAGACAGTTTCAAAACCAATTATAGGACAGTTTCAATAATTAATACATTGCATATTGTTGTCTTCTTAGTGGTTATTCATAGTATAAGGTGCAGACATGATATCCTGTCCACGAACACTATTAGAACAAATCTTTCTATACATTGAATTAAGAAAAAAGTAGCTGTATGTCTAAACTATTTGGAATATACAGATACAAAATGGTCGTTCATTTGTATCCTCTTTTTTGTTTAGTTTTATCAGAGAAGGGTATTCCATTGTCATTTAAATATTGTAGGTGCGTGAACTCATCAAAATATTCCATATATAGTCCAGGAGTCCATAATAGTAATGGGTTTTCCATAGGACTGGCTATGTCAGAAGTTGTTGACTTGACATTAACTTCTGAGGATAACCCACTACTATTATGGACTGCTGGACAGTGTTGGATTGTTTTGCTGAATTCAAACAGCTGTAGTATTTAGGTGCCAATAGAATGCCCACCTGTGACAGGACTAAACAAAAAAAGGAGATACAAAGGAAGGACCATTTTGCATTTGTATATACAAAATAGGATAGATATACAGCTTCTTTTGCTTAATTCAGTGAGAAGAAAGATTTGTACTAATAGTGTTTGGACAGGATATCCTGTTTGCTTCTTGTGCCGTGGATAACCACTAAGAAGATAACAATGTACAATGTATTAATTATCAAAACTGTCCTATTAATCAACTTTAAAACTGTCTCATTGATATTTGTTTCTCAATGAAATAAAAAAATCCAAATCCAGACAGAAGTTGTTGACTTGAGTGTTTTACAGCTCAGCATATTAATGTGGCTTTACTTTTTATACTTCATTTTTACACTTTTCTGTTGGATGGTTAAGACCAAGATAAAGCAAGACCTATATAACAAGTAATATAACTTTTGTATCTGACACGGTCAGTCAGATCCCCGCAGGATTTATCCTGAAACCCTGTACTGTGGTTTGTAGATCCTTTGTCAGTGTCAGCCATGTGGATGAGTCACAGCCATTGCTTGACCAATTTTCTCTCCATGTGACTCTCCTAGGCAAACTCTACATCATTGGTCATATTCCTTTGTGGCCCCATAATCTCAGCACGCTCCAGGGATGGGGCTGGCCAGGATGGCAGGCTGGGGATTGAACCCTGGGGCCCCTGTGACTACCTAAGCAGGCACTTTAATCCTCTGAGCTATCTGGCCAGCCCTCAGTTGTTTGTTTTTGCTCGTGCTGGCTGCTATGGTTCTGCACTAGACTGATCCTTTTGTTTTTCATAGTTTAGATGGTGGGCACAAGTGCTACTTCTGCCTCTGTCTGTTGATTTTGTTCTGGCCTTCAAGAGTTTGATTCACTGTTGAGGCACCAAAGGAAATTGCAAAGGCTCCATTCTTGTTCTCATGAGTCAAGAGGACCCTGGCCGCTGGCGCTGGCCTCATGGCTCCTGGGAAAGCCAAGGAGGCCAGCAGGCAGAGCTGTCCTTCCCTGAGACTTACATACATCGTTCCATGCTCTCTCCAGAACACTGCCTGTGATCTGGGACTCAGGACTTCCTGCATCTGTCAGACTCATGCCCAGCTCCAAGTTCAGGAAGGTTGCCACTTTGAGGACCCTCTTGCTTCCTGTATCCTCGGCTGCTCAGCCAGGGGGAGATCATGGTGGAGCTGGACTGTGAAAAGAAGGCAGCAAGGATACACTCAAGAAATATCTGTCCTGAGTCTTCCCTGCTCTCCCTTCTGCTGCCCTTTTCATTATTAATACAGGTCCTTGTTACTATGATTATCTTTGTTACCATCTTGTCACTGACACAATACTCAACACTCACAACTTAGAGGAAAGATTCTTTTTTTTTTTTTTCCCGCAGTACCAGGGATTGAACTCAGGACCCTGCGCTTATCAGGCAAGCGCTTATTCTACTGAGCTATCTCCCTGGGTCCTGAAAGGTTCATTTTGGCTCACAGTTTGTAAATTTCATTCCATAATCAGCTGGCTCCAGGGAAGAGCAGCACGGTAGATGGCACAGTGGGCAGGAAGCAGAGTACGATGGGCGGAGGGGAGACAGCCACGTCATAGCGACCAGCTCCCCCAGCCAGGCTGCACTTTCCAACTTGGTGTTTAGGTCTTAACTTGCCAATGAGCTGATCCACCACTGAGCCGCACACCCTGTGACCTGGTCACCTCCCTGAAGCCCCACCAAGAGCATGTAAGGATTGGGGGGCACTGAGATCTGAGCCAGAACAGTGCTCCTCTGGGCCAGGAATCTCGTTACCGCCCCACTCTGTTGTTTCCGCATTTGCCAAGTCAGCCCTGTTGACTTGGCCTCTCCGATTGCTTCCAGCTCACTCATCTTGTCAGAGATGCTTTCTCTGTATTTTTAGTCCACAATTTCTCCTGTTATCAGGACGTTTGATTTCTACATAAGCCTAAAGGACAGACTGTATAAAATCAAATATGTTCTCTGACTTACTAATCTTGAAGATGTGTCACCGCTCAGTGACAGTGCTGTTGCTGTTTTTCAGACTCATTTGAAGCTGAACAGCTTGCTTTCTGGTATATTATATTAAATACAGACTTTGAAAACAAACCCAAAAGCAGCTTTTCTGTCAAAACAATGTTAGTTTCAAGACTTCGTTTTCACAGAGTTGATGTTTATTGGAGAAAGGAACATTTTAATATTATGAAGCACAAATTCATCTGTGACTTGAATTCTTGACAGTTTTTTTTTTTTTAATAGTATAGATTGCATCACAGGAATGGAGCTGCTTAAATTTTATTTTTTGCAAAAGCCTCCGATAGCCAATGGCATATTGATATTATTTTTGCAAAATAAAAATAAGCACCATGGTTATTTATTTTCCCATTAATCACCTTACCTTGAACTACCCTTTTTAGATAGAACGGTAAGGGCCAGCTAAATAGCTCAGCAGATTAAAGTGCCTGCAAGCAGGGTCAGGGGCCGGGGTTTGATCCCAGGGCCTGCCATGCCAGCCCCACCCCCATGGCATGCTGAGGTGATAATTGAGACTGGGCGCGGTGGTGCACACCTGTAATCCCAGCTCTTGGGAGGCTGTAAAGTGGCGGATCACTACAAGTCCGATCTAGTAGTGAAACCCTGAACACTCTATAGACTCTTCCCTAAAATTAAAAATAAATAAATAAAAATAGATAAGGTCTGAGGAGATAGCTCAGTAGAATAAGTTCTTGCCTGGCAAGCACAAGGGCCTGATTCAATCCCTGGTTCCACCAAAAAAGAATAAAAAATAAAATAGAAAGGTAAATTACAGCTTGCAAATAGAAGGGAAGACATTTCCTATATTCTTTCAGTCAGCAAATATTTGTTGAGGATCATTTATGAGTAAAAATGATATTGGGGACTGGGAATACAGTTGGGAGCCATCTTCCATCTCTGTCATTCAGTCTACTTGGATCTAGTTGATGAGGAGAGAGAAAATATTTACTTAATAATTCTAATTGTAACAAAAATCTAGAAGATAACTCAAATATTGCTGTCATATATTGGTACTGCCTTATCTAGTACTAACATATATCATGTATTAAATATCATTATACATAAAATACACAGCAGTGCCATAAAAATATTTGACATTTTTTGTCTGCTATCAATAAACAACTGTGGTATAATTTGAAACAATAAGTGCAAGATTTGAAAATGAGAGTGTGTACAAACAGGAAGTCATACTGACAAAGAGCAAAGCCTGGCTTTCGTTTCCCTTCTTGCCTGGGAGCTAAATGCAATCGGTCATCCTTGGGTTTAAGCATATGTGCTCTGGAGAGATGTGTACAGATGTCAGCTGCTCCCACGGGGCCCTGGCTGCTCTCCCCTCTCCCCTGGAGCTTCTGGGAGCAGGAGATTTCAAGAGCTCAGTGCTGCCCCCACACCTGGTGGAGGTGGGGAAAAGTGGGGGAAGCCCAAAGGGAGAAGGAAAGAGAGGCTGACAGGCTTCACTTCCTGTCACCCATAGGGCACATTTCTGAAGCAAAGATTTATGAAAAGTGTTTATTTTTTAACTCTTTATAGTGTGATAAAGATTTTGTGTGTGTGTGTGTGTGTGTGTGTGTGTGTGTGTGTGTGTATTTAGTACAGAGTCCATAGCATCTCTACACACGTCCGACTCCTAGTGATCTCCTGTTTTCAGCTTCCCAAGCACTGGCATTACAGGCATGTACCACCATGCCCAGTCTCAATCACAGTCTTAGCATGCATGCCCCAGGGGCCAGGGCTGGCACGGCACATGTCAGGGATCGAACCCTGGTCCAGTCTGCTAAGCTATGTGGCCAGCCCAGGGTATGGTATTTGAAACTGAAAAATTCCAGAACCAAAGGGACCCCAGGCATTTTCTCATTCTCCCATTCATTGTTTAGAAGAAGACGTTCAAGGTTGAAGGTTATCTAGGGAGTTGTTGAAGGCCTCAAATGACAGCGTCACTCCAGTGACTGACTGGGACCCCATATTTCAACCAAGCATCTGTGCTGCAATCCTACATGGCCTTTTGGTCTTTATTTCTTGTGTGTATCCAGCTATCTCAGCCATGTAATATTTGCCCCTGTTTTCTTCTACTCTTTACTCCAACACTTTTTTTTCCCCCTCTTTGAATTTCCAATGAGGCAGTAATCAGCTGTCTACCTCAACAGAATGTTCTAGGGAAAACCTTCACGGACCTTCCCTAGCTACGCATCAGGGCTTCTGGCCCCACCATCACAGCACTCTGTATTTTCCTTGCCACGCAACCAGCCACAAACTATTTTGATTACTCGTCTGGCTGTTCATCTTCTGTATGAATCACTCGGCTCCATGTCCTTGCTTTTAGGGGCTACACAACATTATAGTTTAGGAGGGTGGATGCGGACCCAGACTGATAGGTTGAAATTATGGCTCTGCTGTTTGCTGGCCATGTGAACTTAGGAGATCTTCCGTCAGGTACTCTCCGAGCCCCTGTTTGTCTTCTGTCGAATGAACGCAGTAATGGTGCCCACTTCCAGTTGTGAGCTTTGCGAGAGTAATGCATGTTAAGTACACTGGATGATTCCTGGCGTCTTAGCTTTTGTCACTGTCCTTTCTCATTTTCATTTCATACCTAAGCATGTAGAAAATATGTGTGGAATAAATGTATAAATGTCTTTGAAACAGGCAAATTAAGAAAAGTGCTTCTTCTACCCAATGGCCCTTCCTTTCCTTAAGTGATACTAGTCCTCTACCAGAAGTATAGGGCTGGCCAGATAGCTCAGGGACTAAAGCACCTCTTTAGGGAAGCGCAGGGGACCGAGTTTCCATCCCCATGTCATGCCACCCCCACCCCCGGGCACACAGACTGGGAGTGGTGGCGCACGCCTGGAATCCCAGCACTTGGGAGGCTGAAAGCAGGAGGATCACTATGAGTCTGATCTGTGCAGTGAGACCCTGTAGACCTTGTACTAAATACATTTAAAAAATTAATTAAAAAATAAAAAATAAATTTAAAAAAGTATAGCTTGCAGCCCTTGTCCATGATGAGTTTACTATCAGATTTGGGTGGGAAAGAAATGCACAACAAACCACTACTGTAGTATTTAATAGAATGAAATTTACTGCATATTAATATATGTAAATTTTATTGAAAGCAGAATAAACGTTCAAGATGTTTCTTGCTAATAATCCAACCTTAGGAATATGGAAGTTGTTTTGAAGAGTGCCATGAAATTTTAGAGCTGAGACTTGGGAGTTTCTCATTTCATTTATTTATTTTTTATGTATTTGGTGCAGGGTCTCACTACGCAGCTCAGACTCGTAGTGACCCTCCTGTTTTCTGCCTGCCCAGCACTGGAATTACAGGTGGGGACCACCACATCCGGTCTTTATCTCTCATTTTAGAAACAAGAAAATGTGTTGAATATTTACCACAGATAAGAGTTACTGTTGTTGTTGACTGAAACATTGACCATGTGTTTCTTTAAAACTTTTCTGGGGTACTAAAAACTGAAGACCACCAGAGATCTTAGTAGATGCCAATACTGAGAGGGGTCTGGTGACTCAAAGGCTTGCTGTGACCACTGTTCATTTTATTGCTTTGCTTCCACCCAATCATTTTCTTTTAGGACATACCCTGGCCAAGCAAGCATATTACAGCAATAAAAGGAAGGACTCTTCAAAGTGGGTACCTGCTCTCCATCTTTTTGAGACAGCCTTGCAGCTCTGTAAGATGGCAGCTGTACAGGAATGTGAGGTGGAGGCTGAAATCCTCTTCCAGAAAGGTGAGGTATACTTAGTGTTATTACTGTGAAAACATTGGTAGGCTTTTTTTTTTTTCCGCCCTATTAACAATGATAGCTCAGTGGACTAAAGTGCCTGCTTAGGCAGAGCACAGTGGCCGGGGTTCGATCCTGGCATGCCGCTGCCCGCAGGACACGCTGAGACAGCGATTGAGACTGAGTGTGGTGGTGTGTGCCTGTAATCCCGGTACTTGAGAGGCTGTAAACAGGAGGATTATAGCAAATCTGATCTATGCAGTGAGACCTTGTAGACCCTGTCCTAAAATACAAAGAACAAACAAACAATCCCCCCCAAATCCCAATAAACAATGATCTTCTTGACTGTAAAAATACAGATGTTACAATTGCTTAATAATAACAAAGCACATTAATACTTCTGGCAAAGCATTTTTAGTAAAAGGACATTGATTATTTTTTATATCAGGAAAGAAAGCATTATGAGTTGGGTTTGTTTTTTGCAATATAACTGACCTTCCTTATACAGCGTTTGGAGTTTAATTAAAAAATGTTAGTCTCAGCCATTTGGCTAATGTAATATTACCTGAAAGATGCTTAAAGGTGTTATTTTTCTGCATTCCTTCACTACTTTGCTCTAGGGATGCTCACCACGAGGGCTAGGAACTGTGTGAGGAGCCGACCCGCTGTACCTTCTCTTGGGGTTTTCAAGCATTAGCTAGCTTCCTAGAATTTGTTCCATTAAGTTGTGATAATTATTAAATTTTGTTTTTAATTGACAAATAATAATTACATCTGAGTTTGGGGTACAATGTGATATTTTTATAACTTTATACATCATGGGATAATTAAATAGAGCTGCCTAACACATCCACCCACAGTATTTAGTCTCCTTGTGGTGAGAGCACTGAAAAATCTACTTTCTTAGAAATTTTCAAGTATACAGGGCGTGACTATGGACTATGAGCATCATGCCGTGCAGTAGTTCTCCAGATCTTTCTCAGCTTGTCTGAACAAGACTCTGGCCCACATCGCCCTTTCCCCCTCTCCACGTCCCCTGGAGACCACCCTTCCTCCTCTCTTCTCTCTTAGGTTCCACATGTTAGGTCATTGTGTTTGTCTTTCTGTGCCTGGCTTCTTGCCTTTAGCAAAATGTCCTGGGTTCATCTGTGTGTTTGCAAATACCATAGTTTCTGTTTTCACTCTGAATCATGTTCTATTGTGTGTGCCTGTATGTGTATGCGTCCATTTGTAGGGACAGGAAAATGCGGTGATGTTAAATGTTTAAAAAATGTTGTAGTATGACCTGTTGCCATTAATTCTCCTCAAAATGCTCCCCCTTGCTTTCAAACACACTTACCCATTGTTCTTGCCTCTTTCTTTGTTTTCTTTTTATTTTTGTGGTACTGGGGATCGAACTTGGGACTTTGTGCCTGCCAGTCAGGAGCTTATGCCTGTGAGCTGTCTCCCTGGCCCTCTTGCCACTTTCTGAAGCAGTTCTAGAAGTCCTCTTTCAGGAGGGTCTTTAGGTGTGATAAAACCCAAAATCCAGTGAGCGCTGCTGCAGAGAGCAGTCCTGTGGAAGGGCAGCCTGTGGAAAGCCTCGGCTCTGGCACCAGAAGGCTCCTTGCTCTTTCCCAAAGTCAAATTGACCACGAAGGGGAAACACGTAGAATCCGTGCAGGACCTCGAGGCAGCCCCAGTAAGCCAACTGCAGATGCTCAAGCTGTGCTGAAAGTGAGGGGAAGCACTCCGAGGGGGATTAATGTCAATATATCCTTCACTGTAACATTTTTTAAAAATGTCAACACAGTGTAGTTTCCATTACAGCTCATGTATTTTCTTGTTTTATTTATTTTATTTGAAGGAAAAGAAAATAAAATCAATGATATAAAATTTCAAAACAAGATTGTAGGAGATTAACAATGGTCAGTATATTGCATATTGTTATCTTCAAAGTAGTTGCTCATAAATAAATACACATGCACACACCCAAGATAAGGTAGTTGTACTGCTAATGCTGTTAGTTAATTGAAAGAAAGGGTTTATGTCTATATTGCTTGATCGATTTCCCATGTCTGTGTCCTGCAATATGACCCCACGTACTCACACACACACACACCCCTTATCTGTTCATCGACCAATGAGCTCTCAGGATTATGCAGCGTCCTAGCTGTTGTAACGCTGCAGCGGACATAAGAGCGCAGACATTTCCTTTGATATTTGTGAACTAGGCGGGAAGAGGAAAACATGTGGAGAAAGGAAGCTGGGGACACAGGAAGGGGATGCACAGGACATAGAGAAAGTCACGGGTCAAAGCAGCTGTGCAGAAGCCAAAGGCTGAGTCATTAGTAATCATCAAGAAACTGCAGGAAGTGGCATCCGGGTTCAAGCAAGCGTGGAGAAGTGGGGCTTTCTGTACTGCTGAGGGCAGGGGAAGCCTCGACCCTGAAGCAAAGAGGCCGTGGATCCCACCCCACTGGCGCTTCTCAGCGAGGAGCAACAGAGAGACGGAAGGACGCATTTCCATGTTTCTGAATTTCCAACATGAAATATTTGTTCAGGAGTTCTAAATGATAGAAAAAG